TTTTCGAGATAATGGTATTAAACCACTTGTGAAGATGGACCCTTCATTGCTTAATCACCTCTTAGAGGTTCTACCTCCCAATACCATTATATTAGCAATTATATTTCAACATGAGTTTTGGAGAGGACATTAAGCCATGGCACTAGTCAAGCTGTTAAAAACAGAAAGTAAAAAAATATATATTAAAAATGGCCAGAGAGAAAGGTAGATTTACATTGAGGAAAACCACACACACACACACAAAAATGACGGCTAACTTAATAACACACATAAAAAAGGACAGAAAAAGATAAAACCGTTAAAGTTATAACGAGAAAAGTTAAAATTATTTCAAAATAGAGCAACACATGCTTAACGACCCACGAGTGAAACATTAGCAATTAGAAACTGCTTTAAATTAAATGATAATGAAAATAAAACTTATCAAACTTTATGGGAAACAGCTAAAGCAAAGCACAGATGAAAATGTAGACAGGCTGGGCGTGGTGGCTGACTCCTGTAATCCCAGCAACTCTGGGAAGCCAGGGCGGGTGGAGGGTGGATCACCTGAGGTCAGGAGTGCTAGACTAGCCTGGCCAACATGGTGAATGCCCATTTCTACCAAAAATACACAAATTAGCTGGGTGTGGTGGCGTGTGCCTGTAATCCCAGCTACTCAGAAGACTGAAGCAGGCGAATTACTTGAACCCAGGAGGTGGAGATTACAATGAGCTGAGATGGTGCCACTGCACTCCAGCCTGCCCAACAGAGAGAGATACTTTGTTTAAAAAAAAAAAAAAAAAAAGAGAGAGAGAGAGAGAGAGAACGTAAAAAGAAACTGTAAACATACCTTTAAGTGATCATATTTAATGAGAAAAATGTGTACAATTAATGATCTATGCTCCCACATTAGGAAGCTAGTACAAAAAAAAGAGAGAAATTAAAACCAATTATGTAGACAGAAGTAAATAATAAAAATGAGTTAAATGTCAATGAATTGAAAAACAGCAAAACAACAGAATCAGTGAAAACAAAATCTGGTTCTTTGAATGGATCAATAAAGTTAGTCTCATCAGGAAAAAGGAATGCACAAAAAATATCAAGACCTGAAATTAAAAATTACCATCCCACCTGATCATATAATCATTAAAAAGATAATATAATATTGTAAACATTATATTAAAATCTGACAACATGTAAAACATGAAATGTTTGAGAAACAATTAGCAATATTGACTCGAAAAGCAAAAACATCACCACAAACAAAAACAATAACAAAATAAAGACCCAGATGACATCAGTGGTGAATAAATTCCTGCAGACCTTTGAGAAGAATAATACCAATTGTAAAATACACTTTCAAAAAAAAAAACAGAGAGAGAGAAAAATCACTTTCCGACTCCACTATTAACAATAAAAATAGGAATTTTACTACAGACTCCATAGGTTTTAAAAAGATAATAAGCAAATACGAAAATAACTCTGTTTACATAGATTCATCAATATAAATTAGAAAAAAACTCCTCACAACACATAAACTACCAAAATGTGTGCAAGATGGCATATCCTGAATAGTTCTATGACTATTAAATAAATTTAATTTGTAGTTTAAAGGCTCCTGATAGAAAAGTCTCCAGGACAGAAAGTTTTATTGGTGAATATACTGGTTATTTAAAGAAGAAATAACACCAATTCTACACAATGTCTTCTAGGAAATAGAATAGGAAGAAACACTTCCCAAATAGCATTGTCCTGACACCAGATCTAAACACAACATTGTCTTGAAAAACGAAAGCAAACTATAAACCATATTCCTCCTAAATAAAGAAGAAAATCTTTCATGAAATAGGAGCAAATTGAATCCATTAATGCAGAAGCAATAAATGGCACTATGACGATATCTAAGGTGTGCAATGTTATTTTTCTCTAAAATCAATAATGTAATTGTAATTTTAGGAAAAAAGAGAAATGTAGTTATGCTAATACAAAAAATCACTTGGAAAAATTCAAAACTTATTCTTCATAAAAAACTCTCATCAAATTAGAAATAAAATGGAACTTCCTAAAACTGATAAAGGACATCTAATACATTTTATGACTAAGGTAATACTTATTGGTGATATTCAACATTGTCCTGGAGGACCTAGCCATTTCAATAAGGCTGTAAAAAATATAAGACACATGATTGGAAAGTAAAACAATCAAGACACTGCCACCTTGCTGTCTGCAAATGTAGAATATCTTAGTTCTATTGTAGGGAATCTAACAAAAACTGAAAACTTTTAGAATTTGTAAGTTACTATAACAAGGAGGTATTATACAAAGTCAATACACAAAAATTAATGATATTTATGCATAAGATCAATAACTAAAAGTTGAATTTAAAATACAACTTAATTTATCAGAGAAACATAAGCAAAATATTTTAAAAGATGCTTCACTAAAATGAAAAACCAAATAGCAAAAAGAAACATAAAATATAATAAAAGTCAATAATCATGGGACTACAGTTTAAGACCTTTATTATATTATTATACAGCTATTAATATGCAAAAACATAAACTGTGGTAGTTTAAAGTGTTGGTGAAAAGCTTCAATAATGGAAACACTCATAGAGTGCTGGAAGGAAGTTAATTAGAAAAACTGCTTTGGAAAAACATTTTTAACATGACCTGAGAAAGCTAAATATATGCTTTTCATCCCTCCATATATGCCCTTAAAAAAAAAAAAACAAAACAAAACTGTATATATGTCAGCAGACATTTAAAAGGATTTTTAGAAGACCATTGCTTGAAATAGCCCAAAATAAATAACTTAAATGTGAAATAAAATAAAATAGATAAATAAAATATAGTCTAGTAATACAATTATAAATAACAATTAAAATGGCTGAATTAAGCTACAGCTGCCAACATAGATTGAATTTATATTGATGAAGAAAAGAAATAAGTAACATGAGAATGCACACAACTGACTGTATTTATATGAGGCCCCAAACCTAGCTATTTAAAATAATACATAGTATATGGATATATGTAGAGGTGATAACATTATAAAATAAATCAAAGTAATGATTATCACAAAAGTCAAGGCAATGATTACTCTTACTGGGAAAGAAGGGTTCAGAACCAAGAACATAACTCATATGCTTACCTTGGTTGACGCTTAGGGGGCTTTTATTTTATTAATATTTTTAAAATATATGTTTTATGACTCTTCTATATTCATTAGAATATATTTCATTTGAAATATTTCGAAGAGCAAAGTTTATAAAATAGAGTAATACCACTTGCTGTTAATTTTCAAAGTTTATTTAAGTAACATAGAAGGTTTAGATTACTGAATAGTTAGTAAAATAATGTCTTTTCATAGCATAAATAAATGTGAATAGTATTTAGAAATAAAAGATATTTTAAAAAACAGATTAAATACTGCTTGCTTATGAAACGATGAGACTGTGTCTAGTTATCCTCTTTGAACAATCAGAGTTAAACAAGAATAATTTTATGCCATCTCAAACTCAACAAAGCCGATATGCGCTACTGTGAGAGAGGGTGTCATGTTTACACAAGGATAAAAGAGAATGACAACGTTTATATAGTCCCTGAGACAAGTATCTACCTCTCACGAAGGAATAGAAATGTCTTATCCAGAAAAGATCACACAAAGACTATATATTTAACAATTTGGAGACACTTTCTCCTACAGACAGAGAACTAAGTCAGAGGAAGAGGGAAACATTAAACAAACATTTATTGAGCACCTGATAGATGCAACACCACTGATGGTAAAAAAACAAACAAACAAACAAAAAAAACAAAAACAAAAACAAAACAAAACAAAACAAAAAATTTTCATGATTTGTGTCTCAAGAAACTCTTAGGGTAATCAAAGTATCTAAAAATATAATTGCAACATCTGTAAATAAATGAAGAACAACTCCATGTAGTAACAACAATAAACAAGAGGTAACAGACTTCATTTAGAAAGTGAATTACAAGTCAACCTGAAGGACAATGCATTTGGAGTTTCCAGGTGCATGAACAGGGCATTGTTTAACATTATTACCATCATCATAACATTATAGATAGTAGAAATTGTGTAATAAGAGTACAAAGATCAGAATATCAATGATAACATTAATATTATTTCATTTATCTTATTTGCAGTTATAAACAACTAAATGTGAGTATTGCATCCTAACAAAATGCCAATGTTCCATTTCTCTATTCACTCAGCATACATTAGGGGCCATTTGTGTGCTTCAGCTGTAGCAATCCAAAAACACGTTCCTGGCCAGCCTCACAGTGCTCACAGACCGGTAGTAATGATTCTGTGCATTTCATTGTCAGTTCCCTCATACTTCTGTTTTCTGATTTTCACCCTCACACTCCATTTACATCTTCTTATTTGGAGAAAAAGTCCCCTTATAAAAAGTAGAGTGTAGGAATTCCTCTGCTCTTGGATAGGTTCACAGAGGCTACAAATTAGTCTTTCTTTTTAGAAAATTTGGCCTCGTAATAATAACTCCCTTTATGGAGGCCTCACAAAGACTTTTGCCTTTCCATGTGGTGTTCAGAGATTAATGGGAATGGTGTCCACATATTTGTGTTACTGCCAGACTGCGCCACTTATCTGAAGCCAGTGTCAGGACCCCATGACGATTAATCACCTCTCCAGTCCCTGAAATAAAATCTGCATTGTACACTTTTTGGACTGAGGAGGGAGAAAGGGAATGGTGTGGTTTGGGACTGCTTCTCATCATTAATTTTCAATTATGACTGCAAGAACCATCCCCGTTAAACCTCACGTTGGAGGGCAGGGGGTAAAAAAGCCCCCAGGGAAGACTAATAATGGCCACATGGAGTGGGAGAAATCTGGGACTTATAAACCCTTTTATTTGAAAAAGAAAAATAATACACAATTTATAAAATTCCTTGTAGGGCGGTATAAAATATATCCAAGCTAATTGAAAAAAAGTCACAAAAAGGACAAAACAAGGAGGCTTTTTAAAGGCGTAAATAAAAATGACTGAGCCATACCTTTGCTTAGGGCTAAAATCATGAAGCTGACTTTCTTCACTAGTTAAGATAATTGTTTCCACTTAAAAAAATAATTTTATGACTGCTTCTTCAGTTCTACTGACACTTCTCTCTTAGCCAAAGGAAAATGTTTCATAGTCTTCAGAGGCCTGTTCGGGAGTTTTTCTGGTGTGAAATGAGCAAGCACAGAAGATCTATTCTTAAAAGAAAAAAAAAGAAAAATCAGGTTCCCTCGTTAGACCCAAAGGAATCTGAATAATGAGAAACTAACTTTATGTGTGGTGTTCTGTATTTTGGAAATGACTTTTATATAAAATATTCTCATCTCACAACATTTTATGTTGTCAGTTTTATAGAAATCTCATTTTCCAACAAAAGGAACTAAAGATCAAGCAGCAAAATCACATGCTCTGTGTAATAGGTTAGAGGTGGTATAGTCCAATTTTCATCTCCTGAGTCTAAACATACACTTTATGTGGCATTTTGATGCCTTTGAGTCTTTAGAGATTGGATTTTAAAGCATTTATATAGTTATACTTTTTATATGAGCAGGCTGATATTATTTTTATTAGCAGAGAAGACCATCACACACACACACACACACACACACACACACACGCATTATATCATATTGGATATTAGTCACTTTTGAATTGTCCTTCTTTTCTTATTCACGCTTTCTTAATTCATTTTGTTCTTTCTTAAAGAATAATTTATTATTGTGACTATTTCAGGTGGGGAAGTACCTATTCCCACTACAAAAACTCTGTAGGTCAATTTATTCTTTTTTTTTACTTGGGCTTAGGCAATCATGCATTTTCTCTAAGGATAGTGAATCCTCAAGGAGCAAAAGAAGGACCAGAGTCTTCTTAAAACATGACCTTGACCGTTGTTCTTACTACCTAACTTCTAGTGCAAAATCTTGCCTTTTTTCATTTTACCAAGCTTACCCTTCCATTGTCTTATCAATTAAATGATTACCTGATATTCTAATACATTCCCTGGTTGTCTGAGAAATCAGTATTCAGTTCCTGTGGCTTGCCATCAAGAATGTGACTAATCTATGCTTTTTTGCAGTCTTGAATACTCATGATTTATGAAGACTCTAGCTCGATGCTAGTGCCTGTGATTTTAGATTCCAATAAAAGAACTTAATTTTTTTAGATATGAAATTAAATTTTGACTGAAAACACTGTAGATAGATAAACTTCTAAAGCATCTCCTGGAACTATGATGCGATATTCATATGCTAAATACTGCAATATTGATGCCATATATATATGGTATATATAAACATATATTTATATATATTTATGTATATTTATATGTTTATATATGTTTTTATATATGTTTATATATGCACTACATAGATAGATCTATATATAAAAAGTAGTTCAAATATGTACTTAATATTGGCTGGATAAGGTAAAAATTAAAGGGGGAGAAGACATTAAAAGTTTTTAATGCACATATTTGATGACTGTGATGCATAAAGTATGAAATAAACAAATCTATTTATGTCTTTCTTATTTATCCCAGATAGGGGAACTTTCTGCTACTAAAATATGTCTGCATGCCATTTTAAATTGCGAATTAATTGGAAAGTCTTATAATAAGAATATATCACAAAATGTAAAAAGGAGTATATTACATAAATGTTATCTTTACAAAAAACGTCATCTTTATTAACAAAGGCTTTGAAATAAATTTTAGGCCTCAAGCAGTTAACTTTATCTTATTTTTCCATTCCAGATATTTTTCATCTAGATGTCTAATTTTTGAGGAATAATTCTGGTTTGGGAGATAAAAATGGCAAGTGTCATAAAAAACGATTCTGTTTCTGTGGAATTTTCAGCCTTATGTTTAAGGCTCATTATTACTCTTTTATATCGTTAATACTTTGTCCCCAAATGTGCTTTTATAGTAGTATAATACCAAAGTAAAACCACTGGAGAACAGTAGATTTACGTACTAAGTGTGTTAGAGGAAATCCCTCACTGAGTGGCAAAAGCACGTGTTAAATTTCAAGTTCGATGAGAGTGACACTAGACTTTATTTATAATGACAGCTGCATATAAGCTGTGGAGACAAACTAGATTTAGAATTTCCTGATGCTTTTGCTCTGACAATCATGTGGCAGGAAGGACCCTGGATTTGGATATTGAAGTAGAAAGTATAAATTTAGTTTCCCACTTACCCCTAGGGGTTAAGGGTAGAGTTTGACAGGTCAAAGCACTTGATAGAGTCAGAACAGGCCAGTATATGAAATCAAACATACCCTACCTCCATTCTTGGAAATACACCAATAATCCACTTTACATTTATTGAATCGTTAACTTGGATGTGCATGAGCAAGAAAAAAAAATAAGTTTTTTGGTGATAAAGGAAATATAAAGGAAACAAAGCTCAATATTTATTTTTAATTTTTTGTTTCACTCCTTGCAAATTTATAGTAAGGCCAACAGGCAGGCAGAAAAAGGCAGGAAGACAGGAAAGGAAAGAAGGGAGGGAGGGAGGGAGGGAGGGAGGGAGGGAGGAAGGAAGGAAGGAAGGAAGGAAGGAAGGCAGGCAGGCAGGCAGGCAGACAGGAAAGGAAGGAAGGGAGGGAGGGAGGAAGGAAAGAAGGAAGACAGGAAAGGAAGGAAGGAAGGAAGGAAAGAAGGAAGGAAGGGAGGGAAGAAGGAAGACAGGAAAGGAAGGAAGGGAGGGAGGAAGAAAGGAAGGAAGGAAGGGAGGGAGGAAGGAAGACAGGAAAGGAAGGAAGGGAGGGAGGAAGAAAGGAAGGAAGGAAGAAAAGAAGGAAGGAAGGAAGGAAGGGAGAGAGGGAAGGAAAAGGAAGGAAAGAAAAGAGAAAGGAAAATAATTAAAATCAAAGGAAGAGACAGGAAGAAAAGAGAAGAAAGGAAAAGGAAGTAAATGATTTATGCCTAAGTATTAGGCAATATGGCACATATACTGAATCCCAGTTGCCTGAATTCAGATTATGATCTGGGTTTTACAAACTGTGTGATCCAGGGCAAACTATTTAATCTGTTGATGAGCCAGTTTAACCACCTGCAATACAGATCAAACACAGTAGCTACTTCATAAAGTTGTATTAAGAATTCTAAACATTGAAATAAACAATGTGTTTAAAACGATGTTTGGCAAGCTGTATGTAATGTTTGTTATTATAATTAATGTGTTATTAATCTAGTTTCCACAACCCTGATGAACGCCTCAGGTGCTTGCATAGAGACTCAAAGCAGTTACAGAAATTATTTGAGGTCTCCTGGTTTCCACTCTAGTCTAGTTTCCTCTCACGCCAAGAGACTACCTTTATAGCAAAGGTGATTGACACAAATCCCTCCACTCTCATTGCCTACCTTCTAACATATACTATATTCTTCTGCTTCTTTGCAAAATCTCTCTTTTGGAGACCCTCTGGTCTTCCTTGAAGAGCTCTGGCTTCTGTTGAGTTGAATTAGGTCTTCCTCAAATTCATACATTGACGTTCTAATCTCCAGTACTGCAGAATGTCACCTTATTTGCAAATAGAATTGTTGTATTATAATAGATGGAACTGGTTAAGTTAGGATGAGTCCCTACTGGAGTCATCTGGACTCCTAACCCAATGTGACTGGTGACTTCATACAAGGGGGACATTTGGACACACAGGAAGAATACCATGTGAAGACTAGTTAGGCTGCCATTGTCAAGGAACCCCAAAGAAGCCAGAAACCACCAAAAGCTAAGTAAAAGGCGTGGAACAGATTCACCCTCACAGCCCTCAAAGGGACTCAACCTCCTCAACACCTTAATTTCAGATTTCTGGCAGTCACCAGGGTTGTGGAACTGTATTAATAATACATTCATAATAATAACAAATGTCTGTTGTTAAAGCCTCTTAGTTTGTAATACCTTACCCTAGCAGGGTAGTAGTCTCATGGGGGAGAAATGTTGTCAACTATGCAACTTGCTATAGTTTATGCATGTTGGAAACCTCCCTCTGTCTGAAAATATCTCCTTCTGACCATGGTGTTGAGGCTTTCTTATGGCCATTGACACTGACAGAATATACTGCTTGTACTGCTGCATTTTCCTCACTGCTTTTGGGAAAGATTCTTAGTGGTTGTCTTGAGTCCTCTATCGAGAGAAGCTGCTCTTTATTATTCCATGATTTCACTTTATATTGGGGAAACAAAAGAAAGATAACGACACTTGCAATTTGGATTTGCGAGCTTTGCCACTTCTAAAAGTGTAAACTTGAGAAAATCATTTAATCTCATCCTTCCCTCACTAAATAGAAATGAAATAAAGATGAAAATAAATCACTGAATTACTGCCCAGAAGTGAAATGATACATTTATTATCCATGTAGACATTTACTGAGTACCTACCTACAGACAGGAAACCAGGCAATAGATTTTTTTTAATGTGCAAAACAGAGCCTGCCTTCGAGGTAATTAGCATGCAGAGAGGAAGACAAATACACACATAGTAACATAACTACAATATGCAGTGAGAAATGATTGACTAGAGTTGTTTCAAGGTTCTATATGAACTCAAGGAAAGAAGGTTTAATCACTGTCTAGGCTGGGAGGTGGGTGGAGGAATGATCAGAGAATACTTCAATTAGCAAGTATGTGTGGCTGGGGGAAGCTTCACAAATGTCATGACATTGGAACTGAGCTGTAAAGAATGATTGGCAATTCACCACATGGAGGAAGGATGATAAGGAATGGGTACCTGGAATGTGCATACACATAAGGGCATGATTTTAGGAAAAGTCTCAGTCGATGTGGCTAAAAGGCATGATGTACATATGGACAAGTAGTAGGAGATGTTCAGTTAACAGATGAATTTAAAGTATTTGCAAATCTTGAAGAACACTCTTATTAAGAATAAGCAACTTCTATCCTCCAAGTTCAAGAAAGAAGTAAGATAGACTACCTTTTCTTTGGTCGTGAATCCAAATCTTCATCAGAACTGCTTTTAAAGCTTCTCAGTCTTTCAGTAACAACTTGTCTTCCTTAATCAGACAGCAAATCAGCAATCCCCTGGCTCCAGTGGCCATGCTTGTGAGGGTCTGAAAGGTCAACCAGTCTCTCAATACTACTGCTTCTAAAAGCTTACAGATCCTTGAACTCTGTACTTCTCCAAACCCTGTATAAAATCATCATTTTCTTTGTTCAGAGATAGTATGCCTTACAACTATAGTTCTTCCTTGCTTACTAAGCAATACTGATATGGTTGCCTCTGAGTCTCTACCCCAATCTCACGTCAAATTATAATTTCCGGTTTTGAAGGAGGGACTTGGTCAGAGGTCATTGAATCACGGGGGCAAATTTCCTCCTGGCGGTTCTTGTGATAGGGTTAGCAGGAGATCTGGTTGTTCGAAAGTGTGTGTGCTTCCCCCTTTGCCCTCTCTCTTCCTCCTGCTCTAGCTCGCCATGTGAAGATTGTGCCTTTCTTTGCCTTCCTCCATGATTGTAAGTTTCCTGAGTCTTCTCCAGCCATGCCTCCTTTACAACCTGCAGAACTGTTAGTCAGTTAAACCTCTTTTCTCCATAAATTACCAAGCCCCAAGTAGTTCTTTATAGCAATGTGAGAATGAACTAGTATAAATTATTTCTGCTTTGATTTCATATATTGACACTATTTAATTCCTTTATTATTGTACATCTTCCCTGCCTTTATTTTCTAAAATATTTAATAAACACCTATTTTAATAAGCCTACCTCAGCATGGCCCAAGGACACAGAGACTTATTCTATTACATGTGGGAGTTGTCCCAGAAATTCATCTAATGGGTTATATGGATACTAAAACACTTTAAGTGAACATTTGTTTCATAAATGAATGAGTGCAGGAGAACTAACAGTTGTTAACTGTTTACAATGATATACAGTTTACACTAGTTATTTCACATAATTTAATTTCATTACACATCACAGCAGTACCCTAAAGGCTTGTTTTGCAAACAAGAACTACTCTACCAAAGGCTTAGTAACTTTCTCAAAGGAGAGGTGAAGCAACAATGTGGTTTCATTTTTGGCTGGCTTCAGAGCTGGTGGTCTTGCCCATATAGGGTGTGCAATCTTCAACATCCAAGTATACCTTGGGAAGGCTTGAAATGAGGGTAACTGCCCAGACATGGAGAGGAATTTCTCTGTTGTAAAATATAAAGTTGAAATGTAGCCATGTAAACTTTCAGCCTGGGAGTCTGAAGCAAATCTCACACTAGAGTATGTACATACATTTGATGATAACACTAGATATTTAAAACAATACGTTTTTTCTCTAATATATTATTTGTATTAAATGTTATTTTTATAGAATTACAAATTATTGTTTTCCACATTTTAACTTGAAAGGAATATATAGAAAATAATTAGTCCTTAGGGAGTATGCATACTGTTATTTATTAAGCAGCTACTTATCATTTACATGTTTTATTCCAATAATCCTCTGTGACTGAAAATTGCATAATTTATATTTCAGGAGTAAGAAAACTGAGGCATGAGGTGGTTATGTAAATTCCTCCAGGAACTTATATATAGTACGTGGCAAAACCAAAATGGTAACATTTGTTCTGTTTTAAAATTAACATTTCATCCAGGCACAGTGGCTCATGCCTGTAATTCCAGCACTTTGGGAGGCCGAGGCAGGCGGATCACGAGGTCAAGAGATCGAGACCATCCTGGCCAACATGGTGAAACCCCGTCTCTACTAAAAACACAAAAAATTAGCCGGGCATGGTGGCAGGCGCCTGTAATCCCAGTTACTCGGGAGTCTGAGGCAGGAGAATCGCTTGAACCCATAAGGCAGAGGTTGCAGTGAACCGAGATCGTACCACTGCACTCCAGCCTGGGCAACAAGAGCAAAACTCTATCTCAAAATATATATATATATAAAAATAATAACAAAATTAACATTTCATAAAAATAATGCTTATATAAACAAATGGCTAAAAGAAGTCTTGACAAGGTTCTGAACACTTTTCAGTGATACTTCCTTATAGTTAAAAGCAAATAAATTTTTCCTTTTGGTCAAATATCAAAATTAGTAGAAAGATGTTAGAGATTTATGTGTATTCTTCCCAATTTAAGATTGAAAATGTCCTCTTCTTATTTCTCATTGTAATTAAAGATTAAGTAAGCCACACTCAAAATTACTTATCCATTTCACAAAGAAGGATCTGAGAATGAGAAAGTCAATTCTGATGCTCGACATAATCTCAAAAATGCTAAATAGTTTTATGTAACCCCTTCTATTTATGTCTCTTTACTGTTAACATGTTGATAAAATCTTCATAGTTTGCAAAATTAGGAAATATATAAATCACTCATTTTTATAAGAAGCTGTATCAAGTTATTGAACAGTAGCAATGAGTAATTCTCATTTCTTATACTCTGATTTTCGGAGTTCCACTCTCAAAAATCTACTTGCTGAAACTTGCAAGACATAGTACTAACAGCCTGACTATATCAAAAAGGGAAAAAAGTAAAATAATCTGTTCCTTTGTTGCTCTGAGTCGTTTGAAGTAAGTCCTCTGGGACATAGCACTAAGCATCAACTTTGCTTGTAGGCTTTAATATGACAGGATCAAAGAGCTTATTAGAACGAATTACTTGAGAGGACTCAATGGTTGTATTTCCCTAACCTACAAAAACAAACCAAAAGTAAGAAAAGCAGAAAACAATCCCTAAATCATAACGGAGCAGATTAGGAGGCACGATGCTCCAGCTTAGTTCAATCAGATGGCAGGACAATATGTTGATAATTATAATCTCTTACATATGCTCAACCTCATTGAATTGCTAACAAACTCTCTACAGTATTTAAACACACTTGACAGCTTTATGAACAAATTTTAATAAACAATGAGAATACTATTGAAAACATTTATATTTTGAAATAATTTTAGATTGACAAGAAGAGTCACAACAGTAATACAGAGTTCGTTTATGTCTTCACCCAGCTACAGCTAATATTATCATTTTACATAATCATGATGAAACTTAAGAAATCAACAATGATAGAATGTTTATTAACTAAACTACAGGTTTATTCCAGAATTCATCAGATTTTGCACTCATGTCTTTTTTCTTGTCCATGATGCAATCTAGCATAACACTTTGTCACAATGTGTTTCCTCAATCTCCACCAAACTGAGAATTTTGTGCTCTTTTTTGTTTGTTTGTTTGTTTGTTTGGTCTTTCATCACATTGACACTTTTAAAGAGCCTTGGTCCTTTATTTTATACACTGTCTCTTAATTTTGGTTTGTCTGATGTGTTTTCATGATTGGACAAGGATTATATGTTTCGAGGGACACTATTTCGCTGAGAGTAAGTTGCCTCTCTCATCGCATATCAGCCGGAAGGTGACAACAATATGACTTATTATTGAGGTTAACCTTGATCACTTGGATACTGTGCTGTCTGATGGTATCCTAAGTAGTCACTAAGTTTCTCTTTCCATAATTTATTCGTTAGATTTCAGTTTTTAAATCCAGTCTATACTCAAGGGCAGAGGAGTTAAGTTTCTCCTTCTGGAGGGAGGAGTGTGAAAGAATCCATAGTCAAATGTTAAAACCACCAGAGTAAGTAATAAATATTTTGGATAAAATGCATTGAGGCTAGGTAAATATCCTGTTACTCTTTAACCTTTGCCCACTGATTTTTATCATACATCAATTGCCTGGAAGAATTATTATATGCTGGTTTAATGATGATACTCTATTTTTCACTTCCATTTCACATGTATTATTTGCAGTTCTTTTGTAAAAAAGATTTGTTCCTTTTCCCTTATTTATTAACCCTTCATTTACTCAATCATTTATTTATGTCAGTATGGATATGTACTACTAAACTCACACATTAATTCATATTTGTGCTTTATGTTATAGGGACTTGGTATAATTTATCTTTACTGGCAATATTAACCATTTAATAAATAGCTATGATGTACTGAACACGACATACTTTATTTTGAAAAATCTATTATAGTTTATAGGAGTTATATTAAGCAAAATCAAATTATCATCTTCCACTTCGTATTCGAAGGAAAGCTCTCCAGTATTTTTCTACCTTTTCCCCCTAATGCCTTAAGAGGAGTCAAATTTTTTTTTTTTTATTTTTTATGAAAAAGGAAAGCATAGGCAGAAAACATGGAAAAGAAGTTGAGAATCAAAATTTCAGAGTAGGTAAACATGAGAAGTTTCAAAGTGAGGAAAGGGTTAAAATACAAGAGGAGAAAGATGACCAGGGTTCATTTCATTTCATTTCATTTCATTTCATTTCATTTCATTTCATGTATAAAGGTCCAAGAATGAGGAATTGTCTAAATTATGATAACCCATAGGATGAGATATTACACAGTCATTCAAATAATGCTTTTAAAGAATGTGCAACTGCATGGGGAACGTCACAGAATAAAGTAGAGAAAAACAAACAAACAAACGAACAAAAAACAATGGCAGGAATAAAAGACACCCACGATTCTAACTTGACTTTTTAAAAGAGGAAAAGAATATGAAGAAAATGGATATGTAATATATTTATTTATACGTAATAAAAAATGGGTTGTTTTTTTTTTTTTTTTTAGACTTAGTCTCACTGTGCTACCCATGCTGGGGTGCAATGGCGCGATCTCGGCTCACTGCAACCTCTGCCTCCCGGGTTCAAGCAATTGTCTTGCTTCAGCCTCCCAAGTAGCTGGGTTTACAGGCACGCACCACCACGCCTGGCTAATTTTTGTATTTTTAGTAGAGACAGAGTTTATCCATGTTGGCAAGGCTGGTGTTGAACTCCTGACCTCAGGTGATCCACCCACCCCAGCTTCCCAAAGTGCTGTGATTACAGGAATGAGCCACTGTGCCTGGCCAAAAATGTACTTAAAAAAAAAATCACTAAGTGATCCTCAACACCTAGTCTGTCACAGTGCCTGGTCGCCTACTTGGCATCTACTGAATTAATTATTGAATACAAGAAAATATTAATAGTGGTTATGGCTGAGCAGTGGAGTAGTTGATGACTTCATATTTCTTCTTTATGTTCTTTGTGTATTTTCCGAGCTTTATATT